TTCCTCTCACAAAGTTTACCTCACCAAAACTCTTATTGCTTTTGTTAACTCTCAAATCCAGTTCTTTACTCTTTAAACCGTTTATGACAGTGTCAAGAGAAATATTATCCCTGCCATACTTAATAGCAGATTTCAAATCGTTGTAAGAATCAGGGATTGCATTTAACAAAACAATGGGAGTATAGTTATCAATACTTTTGTCTCCCGTCAGTTTAATATCCTGAACTAATCTGGTAAACTGGTCTATGTTCTCATCAATATCTTTGGTTAGATCCAATTTGAATCTAAAAAACTTTTCGAGTAAAAACATTTTTTGAGGGCAGAGAAGTTTCTGTGTACAACTCGTCTAATTTTTCCCACAAACCTTTGGCAGAATCATGCATACCTACCTTTCTAATCACAGAGTCAGAAAGATTCAATATAATGGCAGAGTAAGCAAGTTCATCAAGTTCTATTTTCTTAGAAGCAGTAGTTTCAGCAGCATAAGATTCATCAATAGCCACATAACATAATTGTTGAATTAACACACCTTTCATTTTCTGTTTCCAAATAGAAAAATCACCCTTACCATCAAAAGGAGCCATAGAATAGACAGACATGGCAGCCATACAAATATCAGCACAAAGCAAGATACTAGACCAATTTTTCACAATGGCCAAAATAGGGATAAGTGCATATGCAACAAAGATAGGCAATCTTGGAGACCCTCCCTCACAGGATTCCAGGGCACTTGCGGTCCGGTCAAGTGAGGTCAAGAATCCAAGTTATACCACCCATTAATATTTATATATATATAAGTGAGCAGTTTATATATATGCAACGGAAGAATAATGTTCACACAGAAGCAAGAGTGGCACACATACCACAACAAAACACACAGAGTGGCTCACAGACCACGAATCACACACAGTGGCTTACAGACCACAGGATCTAAAGATAAGGCAGTACCAATCACAGCAGAAAACTAAATCCCAACCATAGGGGGTTTATGGTACAATACCTGAGCGGAATCCGGTTGGATTTCCGTACGCCCTATTTGAACGAGCACCCCCAACTTGACGATGCTCTGGTACCACTGTTGGGTTGCCGTTCAAATAGCATTAATATTACAGACCTTTAATCAAATGAATTACAAAGATTAATAAGCCTAAGGGGAAGAGGATTAAGACTTAACAAATAAATTACAGAAATAAATAATAATAAGAACAAATCTGGGGCAGATCGAAATTCTACCCGTTTTCAGCTCCGGTGGAGAAGGTGACACAACAACGGCTCAGTCCTCGTTTTCCGTGTCCACCTCCGGAGTCCAGTCGGCGGCAGCCAACACACTCCCGGTGTCAAGCTCGCAGATCCACGCCCAGCAGTCAGAACTTCATCCGAGTGCTCAGATCTCAGCCTCACTCCGACTGTAGTCTCAACCCAACCCAAAACCCCAACGAATCGAACTCACACACACAGTGTTTCCCCAGATCTGTTACCCTCACTCACAGAGGTCACGAAACCACTCACCACAGAGAGGTTTAAGACAAGAAGGTAGAAGATGGGTAGATTTCGTTACTCCGTTGTACTCTTCATCTTCAAGAAGAGATGTATATATACTCGTGCAGCTACATCAAGAAAGGAAAGAGAATCGACCGAATCTCCGACCGCCATGGAAACCGGCGAAAGATTCGGCCGTCGAGAAGAGAGAGAAGAGAGAGGTGCAGCTGCTAGGTTAGGGTTTGGAGGCTTTGAGAGAGAGGGAGGATATTTATATGGAGAGTGGATGGCTGAGATCGAGAGTTATCAACCAACGGTCCAGATTGAATCTCCTTGGGCTTTAAGTGAGGTGATGGGCCGACACCAAGGGAGTGGACTGCACAAAGTGGGTTAGCAATTTTGGGCCAAATGAACATTTGGGCCCCTTTTATCTAACACTATCATATCTTCGTTATCAATCCTAAGGCGCTTACTTTTCGCACTGAAGTTGCTATTCTTCCTCTTACTGTGAATGGTAGGTTTATCTTCAAGTATTTTTTCTGCAACTAAACTACAGTTGTCAATTTCAGACCATATATGCTTCCTGTATCTATTTTGGTATCTTGGCTGACCAGCCGCATGATATTTGAAGATTCTGAGCATGTTTGAAATCACCTTTCAAATTGACTTTTAGAGATTGCCAAATACTAACCTCAATCTAATACCCTTTTAACCTCAATTATTTAAAAATGAAGTCACAATCTTGGAACATAAGTTGAAATCGAAAGTCATATGTTTCCAGTAATATAATTTTTGAATCACTTAAAAGTTAATGTAATAACTAATAAATATGTAAAATTGTAATTTACTAAAATAACATTTGAATGAGTATGTTACTATCTGAGATTTCATATGACGACAGAATATAAGCATGGAAATATGGTTAAATACATGTTAAATATAAATTCTTCAACTACTTTACCAAATATAGTTGCATGTGAAGAATGGACTTCTTGTTATGAAGCACTTCTATTTTAAATAGACTTCACCAAACATTTATGGCAGCGACTATTTGCAAGACGAAAATTACTTAGGGCAAGACCAAATTAATTTTTTTTATTAAATTCAGTATAAAAAGACTATAATAACCTTAATAAAATACAAACAAAATAAAAATTATTTTATTAATTTCCTTTTGCAAGACCAATTTAAAAAAGAAAAATTAATAAAAAAAGAAAGAAAAAAGAAATTGAATTGAGAATTGAAAAACGAGGAGGGAAGAAGGGAAGAAGAAAACAAAAAAAATCAATTGCAGCACTCAATCGTCGCCCCGTCGCCGTCGCCGTCGCCGTTAAAGTCCACCACCTCCCCGTCGCCGTTGAAGTCCTTTGTTGCCCCAACCCAGCCACAACAATCTCACGAAAAGCAAGTAAGGAAATTACTTTTTGAATTAACTTTTTTTTTTAGAAATAAATGTGATAAACATGATTTTATTGTTAGAATAATGAATTCAAGTCATTTTAGAACATAGTTGATGATTCTAGGGTTCGATTGTAGCACTATTGTTGAAGGAGTTGCGGTTTTACAAAAAAACGACCTGTACTTGTCGATTTTTTGGCAAATTTTCGACACACCAGCGTCGAAATATGCGCTTAATATCGACACCATAATGTCGAAAATTTCAATATAATTCGACAGTTAAGGAGTGTCGAATTATGTTGAAATTTTCGACACTACTGTGTCGATATTAAGCGCATATTTCAACCTGTACATGTCGAATTTTTTGTACATGAAATGAGGTGCGAAAAACGATCACAAAGTACAATATTTCTTACCTCTTTGTGTTCTTCGACCTTAGAATCCTCCATATTTATGTCTTGTCTATCCATAATGTCATTCTTTTCAAGTTTTAATAAGATTTGAGGGTTTTATGTGATAAGGGTTTTGGAGAATATGGAAGATTTTTTTGTGGAAAAAAATGTGTAAAATGAGGGTGAAGAAGAAGATGTTGGTGTTTTGTTGGGTAAGTGAGTTCCCTCTCCTTTTTCCTTTTTTTTTTATTCTTTTTTTTGTATATTTTTTTTTGGTCTTGCAATAGCAATTAGCTTAATTTAAATTAATAATATCTAAATTATTATTATTGGGGTTATATTTGTAATTTCCAGTCTTGATCTTAGTAAATTTATTTATATTTTGGTCTTGCATGCAGCCAACATTTATTTATGATGCAAAAGGACTTCTCCAAACTGCACTTAGTGAAAAGTTGATGTAGTTTACCTTTCTCGTGGCCGTTCACAGAATTATTTCTACCACTACCATCCCCTGGAGGGAAGGTGTTATTCCCCACAATAGAAATTTCAGCTCCCTGCAGCAAACCGAAAAAATGCTATTACATGAAGAACTCAATATTGCACTCATGGAAAGTATCCATCAACTTTATCATTCACGTGATCAAATTTAAGCAGATTATATCTCCTCTTCAAGTGCAAATGTAGTATTGGAGAATCATAGACCTGATCTGATGATGGAATAGCTAAAGCCTTTCTGCCACCCATGACCAACTTTCCTTCAGGCTCCAGCCTACTAAATGTCACTGGAACGAAATATCATAAAATCATTTCGTAATTGAAATAAAACCAATGGAGCAACGAACACGAGTATAAAAAATACTATGTCCAGTACCATGAATATCCAAATAAAACAATGTCCAAGAAAAATATGCCTATGTTTTGAAAGCAAACCCACAGCAAATCAGTTTTGGTAAGCAAGAAGCACGTACTTTATGTATTGCTACAATAGCAATGGAAACATTGATGCACGAAGGAAATTTCTAAGTTTGGAGGTTGAAGTTGCATTGATTGTATACAATGCAAGGAGTAATTCCTTCCAGGACAGGACATACATTCTGCTGTTGTTATTCGGCCAAAACCGAAATTGAAACATCCATTCATTTCCTTTCACATCCAGTACGGATAGAGGTAATCCTTCTGGCTGAGTGATTAATGGAAAATAAGCCTGTTTCGTCATCAATGAGTAAATTTTATTAAGATGAAACTTCAAAAGCATTGACCACATCAAATGAAACCTGAACGTGATAGATAATAGCTCACCTCTGCACATTTTTTTGCACTTAACATTTTCTCAAACAACGGAGTAGTAACTGTCTTTGAGCTAAGAAGAAGCTTAGGTGAAATCTAGGTAACAAATTGCAGAAAAATCTAATCATGTAGTCATCTTATACCAAGCAAACGAGGCCTAAGAAAAATCTTGACCTCTTGAAATCATGAACAGGTGAAGGCATTCATTTTGCAGCCCGGCCCGAGAGTTGATGACCAGGCAAAAGCTGGGATAATAGTTTGTCATAACTCATTAGTGTCTTTTCCTCGGATTTGTATGATCCTTTCCCTCTAGCTAGTACCTCACCATAATTCTACTCTTGAATCTTGTGGTGCATACAAGATTCAAGAGTAGAATTATGTTAGATACAAGAATCTAATAGGTTATTATTTTTTGATAATTAAATTAGTTAATGATCTTAGTGCACATAGAAATAAAAAATAAATATTTTGAATGAATCGAGCCACGTATGCAGGCTCTCACGAATTATTCGAAATTAACAGACTAAACAACTAGCAATTCTGCTTCGAAGAAGTATTCAAATATGAATCATCTCTGTACTTCAAATAAAGTGGAAGTTCAAGGGCTTCCTCCGCAATTTTCTTGTCCTCGTGTATCTTCGCTACTAAGCTTTCGAGCGAAGGGAAGTTCGCCTGTACAATTACACACACGAAAAAAAATTAAAAAATCTTGCTATAATATACAAGTCTCGTGCGTAAAAACGAAAACAGAGTAGAAAGTGAATCGTGCACTATACCTCCGGTCGAATATAGCCAACAATGACAAGACGCAAATCCTCCCCATAAAAATCCTCGTCAAAATCATGAAGCAACCACGGCTCCTGTAACAAATAATAATTAATGCTCTCTAAATTGAAAAAGGGGCAAAAGGGTAGAACGGTAAAATGAACAAATAACAGAGCTAAAACGAACGACGACTCACAATTGTCTTCTCGGAGTTGTTGAAGTAAGGATTCCAACCCACGCTCATAACCATTTTATAAATACCTCGACCTGCTAATCCAGCCCACCCAAAATAAACTCCCGAAGGATGTTCCGACAGCACATCTGAATATGCCTCCGTGGACAAATTAGCTGGAATAAAAAAATATATATATATAAAAAAAAAAAAAAAAAAATTAGACCAATCAAAAAGAATATAACATAGAATGAACAAAGAATAATGGATTGTGCCACGTAAGAAACCTGTAGGGATTCCGAGCACTTTCGAGCCACGGCCAAATCCTTTGATGACTGGACCGCCAATCGACCAAGGTTCTATTGGTAATGTCCCTTCTACCCCTGCAGCAAATATTTAATAAAATTAGCCGGATAATATTAGATACAGTGCAAGCAAAAAACACAAGGTTCTTACAGTCTTCGAATGCAGGTAGGCCCCACTTTTCTAGTTTCAGGTCTAATAAGGAGTTGATAACCTCGTCTGCTGAGGTGAAAACGTCGGTTTGTTTGGGAAGAGATGGAACCGCAACCACTTCCATTCCAGCTGCCTTACCAGCAGTGACACCTGGCCTATAGTATTAAAATTAAATTAAATTAAATAAATAAAGCGATGTTTTTAATGTATTTGGATTAAGATTGGAAAATGCGACTTACAAAGAATCTTCAATGACGAGGCAGGTGGAAGTATCCATCTTAAGCCTCTTTGCAGCTTCGAGATATCTTCAAATTGTGACGCAACGAAAGAGTATCAAGCAATGACACATATAACATTAGAAATAAAACGATCGGGTTTTTAACTTATTATATATTAGCTTACATTTCGGGAGATGGCTTTCCGTTGGTCACTTCATCGCCGCCTAGAATAACGGAAAACGATTCTTTCCAACCTACAACACAAGCAAAAATACGCAAACACTTATGTCATGTAAGAATAACGAATTTAATTATTTAGCTGAGAATACGACGCATAAGTAAGTACCTCGATGAAAAGATATCTTGGTCTCGACATTTTCCTTGGATGAATTTGAAGCTAAGGCAATTGGCACACCGTGACTCCGTAAATGGTTGATTAACCGGTTAGCGCCAGGTTGAGCTTTGATACTACCCCATCTGCAATAAAAAATCGGGATACGATAATGAGAAATTTGCACGGCATTAATATTGTAAAGAAGATAAACGCAAGCATACGAGTAATATTACTTTTTGGAGAATATCGGGGTAAGTTCCGATAGGAATTCATCTGCGGTGACTGGGAGTTCATAATCTTCGACAATAGCTGCTGCTGCTTCATAGGGTGTCTTTCCGACGATTCTGCGAGCTCTTTTTCCGTCCCATTTTTTTCCGAACTTAACCAAGTGAACTCTTAGAACATCGCACACAATGCCATCTGACAGAAATAAATTACTTAATTAATTTGATTTAAGGCTAATTGTCAGCACAAGTTCGAAACGAAAGTAAATGGCTAATAATGTTTATTGCGAGATTCGAGGCAGTGAGATTCAGGGAAGAAAAAATTAGTCGAGCTATTTGATTTCAACATCTACATCAATTCGGAAAACAATAGCTATAACACGTAAAATTGTTGTTTAAACAAATGATTAATTGCAGAAAGAAACATGAACTCGCCTGAATTAATAAGTGTTCCGTCCAAATCGAGGATGACGCATGACATAAGCTTGCTAAGAGGCTTCGCCATCGACATGTCGTCAAGGTCAAAGTTTATGATTCCGTCAAACACGTCGTGAAAGAAAAAAAATATATCCTGCAATGATGGATTTGCACGATGCGTTTGGATTCGGGAAACGTAATTAACTCAAAGCATAAAATTTGACATTTGCTACTTCAGCCCGATTTCTTGACGAGTCCACCAATAGTACAATAATTGAATTTAAAGACGAATACGAATAAATTATCGATCATTTCAAATAATCGTAAGGAAATTACAAAATAAATACATGCTGAATCAAATATCAAGTTCAGGATTTAAGGGACAAAATAGACAGAGAGAGGGCTCTTGGTTTGCACACACTCGCATAGTTTAGTTAATGATCACAAGAAAGTTAAAAACAAATATTACAAAAAAAATGTTTTGTAATCCTCGGTAATTCAGTAAGTAAACTTTTAATAATAATAAATTACAACTAACAGCCATTACATCAAAGAAAAACAACGCTCTTCCCCAATTGATCACACACAGAAAGAAAAAAAAAATTAATAATCACAAATAATTTTGGACAATCGGGTCATGCGATTCGGGTTTGGAATTTGGATAGTTCACATTGGTATCGAAATATCGGATTTTGATTCTTTCTATGCACCAAATTCATTTCCCTTTTTTTCTGACAGGAGAAACACAGAATTGAAATTAGAAAGAAAAAAATAAACTTACTTGTGAATTGATGTTTTACTCCGGACTGCAATTCCAAACCCTAAATCTCTTGAACCACGTGCAAAATCAGTGAGGAATTGGGTGAAGTGTGTGGGATTATGTGGTCTGTGTAGATTTGTCGAGAACAATAGACCATTAATTGGAGGAAAAATAAATAAATAAATACCCCAGTCCTCCATTGAATCGCAGTTCATTCTACTGAAATTGGAATTTTGACAGACAGATTAAGCAACTATCACAAATCAATGAATTCATGTTTCCCCTAGAAACTGAAATAAATGTGAAATTGAGGAAACCTAAAAAATACCTGATCCCCGATCGGTGGACGTTTTTGGCGACGGATTCAATGGTGCCGGAGCAATTCTGATCAAAACTTCATCGTCGGATCCTCCACTTCCCGCAATTGCAGGACTTCGGGTTTTGCTCTGGTTTTGGTGTTCGGCCACCGTCGATTTGTTACTGTGATTACTTTGGGAAGGAAAGAGACAAAAGCTAACACGTTTCTCTCTCCAGTGTTCTTAACTTCTTTTTCGTCAATTTATAGCCAAACTCGCGTTTCTTCAACTGCAACTGCATTTGGTAATATTTTTTGTGCTTCAAAAAAAGTCAAATCTGCTTTGACTTGTTCAACCAACTTAAGCACATAAGGTTAATTAACAAAAATTAGATCATCACTTTAGAGAACTGAGGTTTGGATTGTCCAATTACCACATGGATTAATAGATTTTTTATTTTTCTTCAGGCCTAATCCAACTCATTCTACACCAGCTATATGTAAAAAAATTGGGGATCTTCTTCTAGAGTTCGAGACGGTTGAACTTCTTGCAACACAATCTACCGTTGAAAATATAAGTATAACATACGAATTCTTAAACAAAAATATTCTCCATGGTAAAAAAAAAAAAAAAAAAAAAAAAACACAATCTATATATATTATCCCTCAATGATTGACATGTGGCAAATGATGATGTCATTTATCAAAATTGCTTAGTTGGAGTTCAATTGATTAGGTGGATTCTTCAATTGGTGAATTGTCAATTTTATTTTGGTATATATTTAAGTTATTTCCTATTTAACATTTATACACTCATTTAAACATTTACCACATGTATATATATTATTTCCAAATTTAATATTCTATAAATTCGAAAAATATTATATTATTTATAGTTTCAATATTCCAAAATATATTTATTGACTGTCTTTTAAAAAAATCCCGGTACTCATTTTTTTACGAATATTCAAATAATTTTCTGAAAAAATATTTTTTTTAATATTCAAATATTAAAATAAAGGAATACAATTGTTTTTTTTTATTTTCAATATTTTGGAATATTCAAATTATTAACAAAATTGTTTTATTTTTACATTGTACTTGATAGATATACAATAATTTTTGTTAATAATAATTTGAAATTGCTTATTTCTATTATAAGTTCAATGAATTATATATTGGATTAATTTATAAAATTTGTAATATTTAATTAATACATTATTATATTTTCAATTTTTTTGAATTTTCAGATTATATATATATATGAAATATATTTTCCGCCTATATTTTTTTTTAAATTCATAAAACTCAATTCTTTATGTATGAATATTCAATTATTTTATATTATGGATATATTTTCGATTTTTTTTAATATTATGTTTATATTTTCGTACTTTTATGTATTTTTAGTATTAATTCCTGGTATATTATATTTATAGGATTTCAAAAAAGTAAATCGAAAAATCATGTTCTTATGTAATGATTTGATTTTATTATAATCAATTATATTTCCTAATTATCTTTCTTTATTTGCATTCATTTGTGAATAAAACGATTTTATACCACAAAATCCGTGGGTGGTTTTGGTTTTTCTTCATACAATTGGCGGCTCAAATTATGCTTCGTCTTTTTTCTTTTATTACCTAATAATTGATTTTTCCTCCATAGATTCATGCATGCAATTCTCCGTATTGATTTTCTACTATAAATAACAATGTATCAAGTTTTAATTACATCTTTAACTCCAAAATTTTCAACGCAAAATAATTGATAATCCATATATTAATCTATAATCAATCAATATCAATATAAAATCTTGCTCATTTAATTACAAGATTACAATAAAATCAATAATAATTTATTTTCCTTTTTAAATACGCCTAAAAAAAAATCCTCTTACATCACATCCAAAACACATAAATACGCCTATTTTTTCTCATTCAGTTCCTCACATCATAACATTATATTGTTCGCAAGTTCGTTCCCTTTTCCTTTGTATTGATCATCGTTTGTCTCTTTTTAATTCTGTTTTTTTTTTAATAATCAAAAATCAGTTATTGTATAGACTTAGTTTTGTTTATTTCATTATTTATTTTGACAATTGTTGATATTTTATCATGTTGTTGTTCTTCCATTATACATTTATAATGTAATATATCTTTTATTTTAACGTTAAACCATTACATTTTTTATTGTTTGATTGTAGTTGCTTTTCAATATTTACTAAAAAAAATTGCATTGCAGATCTATACAATGACATTTAACGAGGAAATTCTCCCGTTGGTGAAGAACTATCATTGATTGATTGTTTAACATGATCGATTAAACTCGATTGGATTATGAACCGATGAATCACAAAGATTTAAACGACTAACTGTGTAAAGGGTTGTTAGAAGCAATATTGAGTAGAGAATTAATCAAACGAAGAATGCGCAACATGTCGTGTTGACTATGTTTTTAATCCAGAGATCGCGTAGTAAGATTTTCTAATAATTACGATGGAATATATTTTATAAGTTGTGATTGTATACAATATACTCTACTGTAATCTGTCATTTTGAATTTACAGTGAAACAAATCAGTTGTGTCTACAAATGTATTTCTATATTTTTCCATGTTTATTCGATTTCATATTGCCCTTTTTTTAATTTTTTTTAATAATTTGAGTTTTTGCTATTATATAGGCATTAAAAAAAATACTAATTTGTGTGTTTCAATATTTTTGCTATTATACAATTATTGTTGTAAGTACAATAGTATTTTGTTTACATTATTATGGTAATATTTATATTTATTTTAATCACAATAAAATATATTTTTTGTAAAATATAAATAGAGTTTTTTAATCATACTCTTTTGAAATTATTAATCTCTTTAAATTCAAAATATGTTCTTTATTTACATTAAAATGGTAATGTTTATATTTATTTTAATCACCACAAAAAGAAAATTAGTAAAATATTAGAAGTTTTTTTAATCCTTATTGTTAATCATTATATATCGATATGGCCAACTTTCTTTCATTACAAATTGATATGTTTCCCATAAATGAACATTACTAAAATAAATGGCATTTAAAATATATGTAGTAATGTTTATACAAATGTGCAAATCTATATTATATATAAAACTAAGATACACAATCAAAGTTTTCTAATTGAGGAGATTGAGTCCATAATATTTTATATATTTCAAAATAACCCCACTTACCATATTCACCCATATTACTAATGAATTAATTTCACATTATTGGTTTTTAATTTTTTATCTCTCCTACATGTCAAAATGGTGTCTTTTTATTGGTTATTGATTTTCCTTTTTAATCCATTGCTTCATATTAAAAAACGTCAATATATAAATGGACATTCCACTTAATTTGGGTTAATTAAATTTTATGCACAATATTATAGTAAGTGCCAAAAATACCCAATTTTCAAA